ATGTCGAAATGAACTTGTCGTGTAAATGGATAAGTGTCAAGAAAACCCTTTCTTCATAAGAAGGAAGAATACCTGCTCAAAGATTACATTCTATCCATGGCTACCAGAGGGAACGATTTTTCGGTCCTCTGGTTGGAGTACCTTGAATTTGGGTTGAGAAAAGAGAGAGTATAGTATAAAAACAAATTGATGGAATTTAACCATTTCAGTCCTGGCGGGACTCAGGAGTTCCCACTTTTTTTTACAATATTTTATTGAAGGACTATATAATTAAGAATGCACGACCTTGAGGCCTGGCGGGACTTCTAAGTCTCAGTAACCTCTTTTGGAATTTGTATGTTATTGGTCGATGACGTTTAATTGCGGACGGTTGAATAAAGAAAATATGTTATAATATCATTTATATTTCTTTGTCAATACTGGAAGGTCTGAGCACGCCAAGCAAGCTCTGTAATTTTTCCCCCTTATTTCTTCCCCTTCCAATCGATCGTGTTGAAGTTTGACCTCGTTTCTCACTTGTTCTTCTTCAAGTGCAACCGCATTCTCTTCAGGTTGAAGTTAATCTGTCATAAGTTCACTTTAAAAATCATTTACGTCGGAAAGTTTCCATCCTAAGCATGGATATTGAAATAATGAGAAAACTTATTTAAATTTGAGAATTTAAACACATACTTGAATGTGCAAGAAAATTAAACCATTCGAAAAAATGTTAGAGCTGAGTACAGATAATGTGTATCACTCAGGTCTGAAAAATAATTTTTGTTTAGCATCCATCGTGATCATTTATAGAATAATGAATGAGAGTTTTTCTTTCAAGTTTCTGCGTTTTTATTACGAGTGAACAAGAGTATGAAGATATGTAGGATCCAGCGGCAGCGGTGCAAAAGGCCATTATGTAGTAGCCTCTTGATAGGGTTCAACCCAAGACGCACGAGTGTTCGGGTCTACCCGTGCCTCGTTCGACTTAATTCGTCAGCCTCTCATTCTAACCAAACTCAATTCTTCTACAATATCTCGGTTGTAATATTTTAGGGGCGTTTCATTCTTGCAGCATTGCAAGCAGCAGAAAAAGACGAAAACAACGAGATATCATACTATTCGGTGGTCCTCGAGGGAGGCTAGAGGTACTCCACTCTTCGCCTCGTCTCACAATGCCATGCCGAAACCCGTTCGAGTTTCGTCGTTTTACCCTATAAGAAAAAGACAGAAATTGTAGTTTCTTTTTGCTGTCTGGACAATAGGGAGTCTTGTGTAGATAGCCTCAAAGAATACATGGAGACCTTTTCATAAATATTTTCAATCGTCCTGCTCATTATTGTTTTGCAAAACAGCTTCCTAGATATCCTGATACAGGGTCAGACTGGTCCACTGGGATACCAGGAAATTTTCCATGGGATCCCCCAGATCTGATTTTAAAAATTTTAAATGCGTGTTTATTACAGTATTTATTACTGCCATAATTTGAAATGTATAATTACTATATATTTACATTGAATGATGGGTCTATGTAATCTATCTCTGAAATTTTCTCACATATATTCTTAGGAAGGGGGGGGGGGGGGAATTTTCAACTTATATGTTGATGACGGACAACCTCTACGAATTTTTCCCAATGTGCTTCCAAAGAGTTTGCTGAAGGGGTATTAACCCTTTTTCTGGCAGGGATATCCGAACAATTCAAGGATGTCGACGTAATATTACAATGATGCCAGGGAAAGGATTAAAATTGAGATGAATGCTGTGATGAATTTTTTAACCTTAAAGCAGTCCATCTCTTAGTAGATATTTTAGAGGATCAGTAGGACAGTATTCTCCCAGCTGCAAAAAGATCTGCTGGAGGATCGACTCCTTCAAGGTTAGAAAATTCATTGGAGCATTCATCTCAACTTTAATACCCCTTCAGCAGACCCTTTGGTAGCACATTGAAAAAAAAAATAAATAAAAGTTCTCCATTATAAAATAAGTGTTGAAAATTTTTTAAATCACCATCAAGGACATCTTTTTTCCTATGATAAAAGTAATAATGGTAAGTAAGTAATAATCACAACTGGAACTGCCTTGGGCCAGAAACTTTGTGAACACCCCTCACAGATTCTGAATGGAAGGATGGAGAGTGAAATCCTAAGTGGAGACTAATTTGACCATGCAGATGTCAGAGTATACACAAACAGCATAGGGTATAAAGGTGCCACTGTTGCATCACTGGCCAACTTCTGGCTCTTGGAAGTAACTCAAAGCCAGAGATGCTACTGAAATACCCCTGCCATGCTCACTAAGCTGAAGGACATTTGCAGAGATTTTTTATCCATGCCACATGACTTACTGTGAGTGGTGGTGTTGAATGTTTTGCCATGCCATGAGACCATGTTTGTTACCGATGAAGTAAAATTGAGCGCTTGCTCTAACAGATGATGCAATGGGATACAACAGTGGTACCACTATACATCATACTGGCTGCGTGTGCATTGGTTTCCATCTGGTCGCTTTGGTCTGCACACATGGTCACATATGATACCATTAGGCTTCCAGAGTAGTCAAAACAAGAGTCATGAATTCTGAATAGCCTAGTATATAGAATTATCATTAATCAGGTCACAACTAGCCTGAAAAATGCATCAATACCATTCTGCTTATGTTGAAAAAGGAAAATAATTGAAACTAAAAATTTTCTTGCCAGAAAAAAAAAATCAAAAGGGATTTTTAGCACTTCTTTTTGACAATGTTGAACTAAATTATGAAACTCCCAAAATCAAGCTATTAACATGCTCACTGCAGGAACAAAATGCCTATAGGTATACACCATGCTATGTGAGTCACCAGTGACTCATGCCACAGTGAACGTGGTAAACAACTCAAGCCTAAACTGAATAGCAAATGAACTTGTGCTACATTTGAGATGGGTTCCATAAGCTTAATGTCATGCCTATCATGGGAGATATGAGGGGGCACTCCAAAAGTTTTAAGATTCAATCATTTTGAATAAAGCTTTAAGCTTTCTTCATTTTTCCCCTCAGATTCTGCATGGACTGAACATTGTGGACACCAAATATGAGCACTGAACTTCAATATCTCTGCCTTTGTAATCAATTTTCACAACAAAGGTTACCAACCCCAGATGGCTACTGTTGACTTACCCTTAGTTTATGACCTTATATTTTATCACCCTGAAGTGATAACATCACCATCTTCTACAGCATCAAGCAGTATTTAGCAATCAAATCGCATACTTTTGTGATCCAAGGTGCTCTGAGGGACCAAGCACCCTGCTTTGCCACAACCCACTGCTGGGTCAACAACTCCAAGTTCTAGCCAAGAGTCTTTTAAAGGTGGCACCCAATCTGGCTGTCCAGCAACTGCAAAACTGCAACCAACAAGCAAGCACATGAAGATGTGTGGAAGCTAATAGAAGCTCCTTGCATGACCTATGTGCATATTCAGGACACATTGGGGATAGGTGTGCATGCTGTTTACACTATTTCTCAAAAAAATCTGAAGATGAGGAATTTTTGTCCAGATGGGCACTTCATTCATTGACCCATGAGCAAACAGACCACTGGGTGGCTGTTTTCAACTTCATGCCTTGCAAACTTGAAGACAGCCAGTCTTTGTGAGTGGAACACATTCTGACTGGTAATAATACTTGGGTCAGCCACTACAATATCCCCACAAAGTAGCAAGCACAGGTGAGGAACTTTGAAGAAAAGGTACCACACTGCATTCAAGTGTCCCAGGAGCCTAGGAAGGCTGGGTAAAGCATGTTTGCCAGGTTCTTCAAGAGCCGTGGCAGAAAGATTGTTGTTGCTTCAGTAAGATTGGTAAAGCAATGCAAAATTAACTTCTAGCATTGCAATAGCCAGTGACTTCTCTAAATCCTCCAGGCCTCACTGAAGTATGACCAAAGACACCACTTTAGCAGTGGATGCTGTACCATGACAAAAACCTCTTCATACTCTTCTTATACTGTAACTGGTTGCTTCCATGACAATGGCATTCACATGCTCCCTCATCCCTCTTACTCCAGTGATCTGGCTCCCTGTGACTTTTGGCTCTTCCTCAAAATGAAAGAACAACTCAAAGGACATCATTTAGGGAGTACTAAAGAGCTAGAGGAAGTGGTGAAAGCTGGTTTGCAATCCTCCCAACAAAAAAAGACATCTAAACATGCTTCCAGAAGTGGTTCATGAGCTTGCACTTGTCAAACACCAGAGGGAATACTTTGAAAAACTGTAGAAGTGAATTGGCCAAGTGAAAAAATAAAAGTGGTGTTTCCAGAAACTTTGGAACACCCCTTGTATACTATCACTTCCTACAATGCACAACAGGAATAAGATTGCATAATATAAATGGTGGCACAAAATCATTTGCAATTATGTATATCCTGTGATTTTCAATTTTTGATTTTCTGATTAGTCTTTCCAAAAAGAATACAGGACTTTCCATCATATTGAAAAGTGATCAATGTAGTCAAGTAGCTTGATATTTACTGCATTTATATTGAACCTTACTTTCAGAGTAAACTGAATCCAGGCCATCAAGGTTAATGTTATGCAATTGCAAAAATTGGATTTTATTAAATGAAGGTTATTACATGTGGTGAGGGTGGAGATTTGTGGACTGATGAGAAGAACTGCAATATGAGGTCCATTTGAAAAGTAAGTTTCCCTCATCTGTGTACAAGACATTTATATAAATTATTTATATATCAAAACAAAAGTGTAGAAGAGAGGTTTTTGCGGCCACCATGACAGTTGGTCTCTTTGTTGTCGAAGTGGATGCCGTTTAGTAACCCCTTCATTTTGGGGAAGAGGCAGAAGTCACACAGGGCCAGATATGGTGAGTAGGGTGGGTGGCTAAGCACATAACAGTCCCAGGAGTCATGCAGCTCCACCACCTCTCACTTGGCATGTGCAGGAGTGTTGTCATGATGGAAGATCCTGTCCTCTCCCTAGGCACTTCAAGTGGATGGCAGGGCACAGCTTCTCTTGCAGGACCCACTCATATTAGGCCCCAGTCACTGTGATGCTACTTGGAACAGGCCAGCACAGCAAGATGCCTTTGTTATCAACGAAGATGATGTGCATCACCTTCGTGGCACCCTGCTTGTGCTTGGCCTTCTGAGAACATGGTGAGTTGTCACTGAGCTACTCCACTGATGGCTGCTTGAGCTCTGGGTCTCAGCTGAAGACCCAGGTCTCATTACCAGAGATAATTAGCCACAGAGAGGAGGCCATCATGGCAGCCACAAAAACCTCTCTTTGACACCTGGAGATTGCAGATGTCAGTGGCATGTTTGAGGGCCTGGTGCACTGCTGGCACAGGTGTGTTGAGCTCAACGGTGCATATGTGGAATGACCATATCTTGGAACATGTTTGTGTGGTATTTTGCTTTGATATATAAATAACATATATAAATGTCTTGTAAACAGATGAGGGAAACTTACTTTTCAAATGGACCTTGTAAAGTTTTTGCATGATTTCAAGTTCAAAAACTGCATTGAATGCCCTACCAGTTCCAACTTGCTTAACCTTTTGACTGCTACTGACACCATATGGCGTCAGTCCCGATGGCCCAGCAGGGGATTTAAATTTTAAATACCATTTTAAAGGTCAGGTATTTAACAACTTAAATGGACATCATATATGTATGTATCACTCATTATGGCTCCACATTTAAGTAAATATCAAGAACAACTGAAATTTGCATTTTTTGGGGGAAAACCCAGCACAGGGGGTATTACAGGCCCATAAAAACCCAGCAGTCAAAAGGTTAAAAGGTCCTTTTCTACAATGTGTACCATTACCTCTGTAGTGGAAATAAACCAGGTTTGTGAACTCAGCATTGCTAGCAACAGCAGTTTTTAAGAGCTAAAATGTACCCAGAATATTTTTTAATGGCATTTTTTGCTGTTTAATTTATTTCATGCAGTTTTTTAAAACATTCAATTGAAAGAAATCTGGTGAATTTGGATTTTATTCTAAATACAGATGTGTTTTTATATTGTAAATATTGAGCTAATCTTGAGATAGGATCAGGGAGTTAAAAGGAAACAGGAATTCAGGGAAGGGAAAGGAGAGAGGGAATGAGAGCATGATCTTAACCTTCATCCAGCATCAACCAAAATGCCTCTACTCTAAGCAGAAAAAACTTGGAGGAATTATAAGCATACATTAAGATTTGACTTCATTAAAAAAATTCAATGCAAAAGTAAAATTCATAACTGAGAGGCAAGGGATAATGCCTCTCTCACCTTTTGTGGCCTTGTCTCCAGCAAAGGGGATCCTCCTTAGTGTATAAAGACGATACTTCATTGCTTCTCATGTTAACCACCATAGTACCCATCTTCAAGCTGCTTAATTACTGCTTCATACAATCCTAGACATAAATCTCCAGTGCTATTGAAAAAACAGCAAATATGCTTACTGTGTGCATGTAAGAAACTGGATCCCTTTTTGAAGGAATTCAATAAACATGAATTGACATATGGGAAGGGGGAAAGTCATTAAAGTGATGGTTACTTGCAAATATGTAGGCTGATCAAAAAGGAACAGAACTTTGGCTGCAGCTCAAATAACATATGTTGAAATCATCAGCCACTTTGCAGTTGTTCACTTTGTAAACATTTCATTTGTCTTTTATTTATGGGACTCTGTTGGTGATAAAAAGAAATTGCCATAGTAATTTTTGGTAGATTTTACTGGAATGCCAGTGCTGGGGTAAAGAGCAAACAACCTCTGAAAATTGTTCATTGAGCCTCTTGAGCTTTTGCAGCAGATGTACCTACATACAGAAGGTGTCTGGTACATCTGTGTGTCATCTCAAAGTCACTGTTTTCTTTTATAGCTAATTTAAAAAAAGTATTCAACCCCAATGCATCATGATATTTGATTGACACAAACCTTGAATTGAGCAATGTCAGCTTCAAGAAGTCCATCAAGGGCCCCAGGATATCTTCCAAATTCATTGAGGAATCTCTCTGATGCTCGAAGTAGGATGTAGAGTGAGAGCTCACTATCCCCACTTTCCAATTCTGAAGCTAGAGGAAAAAGGACAATAATAAATTAAAGGGAACACCCATCTTGGCAACTTGTCTCCATTTACTCGATGAATTCAATTTATTGGCAAGTGCTTTCCCACAAGTCACAGAATAACCAAGGATTGTAAAAAAAAAAAAAAAAAAAAAACTTTTGTTTTAAGTAAAAATATGGAGACAAACATTAAGGAAATTGTATTCAGGAACATTGAACATGCCTTCATGAGGTCTAGCACATGTACCTCAAGGGGAAAATAAGTAAGAAGGAGAAGGAAAAAAGAGAGGCTGAGAAAAAAGAAATGGGCCCAGAAATCAAATTCATATATTGGCATTCCGATTTCAGAGTCACCTAAGTGAAAATTTAGCTTTTTTGAGTTTTTTTATCTTTTTTTTTCTTTTTAGCAAGCTTAGAGGTGTGCTGACATATAAGTTTGCTAGGCAGTGATCTTTTCAATGCCAGAATTGCCACTCTGCTGTCCTCTTTATTACACATGATTATTGAATCACCAATCCACCTCAGATAATTTTTTACAAAGTATTTTGCAAACTTCACTTAGCTCTCCTGCACAACAAAGGAAATGCACTTTTGTGGTGACTGGTATTGTAGTGACAATAAGTCAGGGTCATCCAGGTCCCTTGGATTCTAAACCCATGCAGCTCAATGACAGGAGCTTCAAGTCAGCTGAGATAGAGCTGTGATTAGACTTTTGGATCATATGGTTTGTCATTTGAGAAAGAAATATTCTCAGAGGTCTTAAGCCAGGGGGTGCACTTGCTTTGAGTATATGCTAACTCCACTTTATTTGTTATATGTAGAGCAGTCCAAGATTGCTTTAGGTAAAATGATGGTGGTGGTAAACTGCAAAAAGTTTCCTTCTTATGAACCTGTTTAGAAATAGTTTTTTTCTCTGTCCACTTCAATACAGCTGATTGAATGAAAACTTGGGTTTAGCATGTTCACTGCAAACAAAAAATTGCATCCGCAACTAATGTGAAAGTAAATTTTTAACAAAGCCCAAACAATTACAAACGAATACCTTATTTTGATCACCATAGCATAATAGTAATAAAAAGTAATGAAATTGAATGTTGATGTATATGTGCAGTCATCGGTGGTATTATATGAATACTTAAGCATTTGCTGAATATGTGCATCATTTGTGTATTGTCCAAAATTGTAATTAAAAACTAGAGATGCAACGATATTTTATCGGTATCGGCCGATATTAGGTGAATCCGATATATCGGCCTAAAACGATATATGACCTGCCGATAACCGATATTAAAATTACACCTGAAGTATGCCAAACGCTAAGTATGTAAAGCGAATTATGAATATTCTCACCTTTTTCCCATTAGACAACATTTCACTTGACTCGAACACATGTTCATGGGACGTTCCTCATGCATGAGTGTCAGTCAAGTGAAAAAATGTCCAACTCAAGTGAAAACACTGCAGAAGGTTGAAAATGCCTAAATGACCCGTTTTAAAAAAA